CAGAAAAGGCTCACAGCCAAAGTAAACAGCATCAGGGAGCCTAAAACTGCCTGAATGACGCTAGTTTGTGCACCCAAATGTGCGCCCTCTTAATTACGGGTTGGATGGGTGGCGGCAGGGTACTGTGGAGGCCAGTGATTGGTGGAGGGGTGACTGTGCTTGTGTGTGTGACTACGGGGAGTTTTTGATGTTGGGAGAACTTTTCGGTAGTTCTTAAGAGAAGCCTATTCGTGCGTGAAGTTTAATCATTAGTAGTACGGATCAACAATAATCTTGAACTTCCTCCTTTTAAAAACGCAAGCAGAAGGTAATAGCAGACATCCCTCTTTTTACTACCTGAATACTACACAAAAGTCTCCACAGAAGGAAGATATCTACTGCAGATGGACGAATTTACGTGGACTTCCAAAAGGATTGCCAAAACGGGCCAAAATTTGGCAGCCGACACGGTATCAAGCTCGACACAATGACTACCAAATTCAATTTAAGGCTAATCAAATCGTTCAAAGAGTATTTGGGTTCACAAACTCGTGACATTCTCCACTCACCATGTATTGCTCTTAGGGACCTAATATCATCAAAAGCAGCTAATATTTGAGATGTGGTAGCTAGTGAATATTATCTAGGTTCCGGTACTATTAACCAAACTTAACTAATGTTAGGATGATTACACATCTCGTCCAGGAATACCCTGAACATAACCACAGCCGGGATACTGAGTTATCAGATTGCCCTTCTCTCCGTCTTTTGGTGTACTAAGATTCACTAGACGAAGTAGAAATATGGCCATGAGAGGGCCAAGAACGACGCTAAAGACAGGACGAGGGAAAGCACTTGTTCTACAGCCGTACATTTCGGCGCTAATGGCATTTAGTCATAACCTAATCAACACTGAGAATAGAGGGCCCTCCATGTCAGTATAGCCCTTAACAGTTTTAAAGGATAACTTGGACGATGTATATCCACCAATATCCAAGAAATCTTTATCAATTTGCGCCATTTTCATACGAGAAAATGAGGTAAGGAAGTGGTGATTCTTAGTAAACTCATACGGCTCGAGATGGTAACGGAGCAACCACGAGTTGCCCGTGATTCTC